TATGCTTAGCAGAACTGCATTGCTCACATCTCCTCAGGCCAAAAGTAGCATCAATCTTCACAAACCATCATCCTTCACCTGTTTCATCTGCGAGAAGTTCTCAGACACACTTGATACGCCTGCTGGGGGGAAACTGTTACCAGCAATCATCCTTACTGTAGCCATCTGGGACTTGAATTCAACTTCCACCTCCCCGTGATGAGGTCCTCACCCATACTTCTCGCTTTCTAGAAAAATGACCAAACTACCAGGGTAGGGGCTACTTAACAGCAGGGGATTTCCCCCCAAAATTAAATTTGTCATTAAGTTACTAGTGGCGATTGTCTTGGGAGAGAAAAAGAGCGTGCTCTTTTACAAAACTCTGTATTTTAGTTGTTAGGGGAACACATCTGCAGGAAGGGAGATTTGGGTTCCAGGCTGCAAACGTATAATTTATATTAAACATTTAAAAAAAAAAAAAAAGTTGAAATTACTATTAGCAGTAAAGTGGATGTTAGATGTATCCAGTTAGCACTGATAACAGAGCATTATTCTGCTCTTCCGGTACTAAAATCACACCCACTGAATTATAACCTGTGGCTGTAAAACCTGTAGCGGGGGAAACAACTGTGTGCTTGCACCCTCCACAGCAAGGAGTATTGACCTGTTCCACAGCAGGCAGAACAGTCCCACAGCTTGGCTGCTAAGATGCTACAGTGAAAAAAGTGGTTTTCAGTGCCCTCGGGCAAAGGAGGGAATATGCTGGGAGAAGGCAGCAGCCACTGAGCTGTAGGATACAAGGGGCATTTAAAGAGTTTGTTTCTGAAATGAAGAACTAAACTATGAGAGCTGTGAATCCCCAAATGAAGAAGGCACCCCTCGCAGCCCAGACAGAAGCAGCAAAAGGTGAGAACCACCACAGTAATAGCAAAAGTCATTCACAACAGTTTCTGATAAAGAGAATGGTAACGTTTTTCAAGGAGTGACACTTATTTTCCCAGCAGCTTCTGACCACTCTATATTCTTAGCTTTGTATTTTCTTATCATAAGTATTTATCAGGAAAAAAACCCAGGCTGTTCTTTCACTTTGGCTTCTGTTGGTTCATTAATCTCTGAAACAGTAATTTTTCCTGTGTTTTATTTCACAGTCTTGCATAACCTTGGAATTTCTGGTGATAAAACCGGTGATACTTGTTCTTCAGGTACTAAAACCACACCCCCTGAACTGTAATCTATGGCTGTAAAACCTGTAGGGCATGGAATCTGAGATGAGAAATGATCAAGCAAATTCCCACTGAAGTTCTCATTAAATTAGAGAAGGTGGGTTTTGCCCAGGCTGAAAGTGGATCTCAAGGACCATGGCCATTCCTGGGATTATAGCCCATGGTTATAGTTGCTCCAAAAGAGTTGCTATATTGATTTAGTAACACAGCCTAAAAAATGTTTATCTTTGTTTCGTGTTATCTTTGTAGAGCAGAGAGAGAGGAGCATCATAGCACACGGCATCGCGTCCACTGAAACGCTCTTTGCACCAGCTCGCAGAGCACCCCTGAGAATCGCTCTGAGTCAGCAGGTTCTGTAGTCACGAAGGCAGGGTAAGACGAGGGGTTTACACAGATCACAAAGCACACCGCAACTCCTACTCATCGCACAGCGTTTGGAGCGTTCTCAAGGAAGATGAGGATTAAATGGGCAAAGGCTTTTAAATATTCTCTCATGCGAAGGAATGGAATTAGGCCCACAAAAGTAATTTGCTTGGAATATTAACCTGGGAAATGGGAGATACGTTTGAACTCCCTTGTGGCGGAAGAGAAA